CAGGCCAGCCCCCCCACAGCTGCCCGAGCCCCTCTAGGCCAGCCTGCAGCAGGCTCTCTGCACAGCCACCTCCTGCTTCCTGCCACAAGCTCACCAGACCGCCCAGCCCCGTTCACCGCTTCACTCAGCACTTGCTCTGATCATTAACAGCCTTGAAGTCAAACATGGAACACACCGGTTCTACTTTTTCCTACGTCACCGGACGCTTAAACCATCAAACTAAGTGCGTGAGGCGTGGACCCCGCATTGGGAAGCGCCTCTAACGTGATGGGCGAGTCTGATACGCTTGGTCAGGCCGTCACCCCCCTGCGGCCCTTCTTGCCACTTGGAGCCACTGACCAAGGGAACTGCCGGCCTAAGGGAGCCGTCACCTGCACATCGGCAAGACCTGCATCAAGGGAACCCCTGCTGAGACGAAAGGAAACAGGCTGGCGGTGAGCCACAGCCCCTACTCTGGGACACGACACCCCCTCCCCCTCCTGAAGCAGTCCCAGGCTCTGCGGGCAGACAGGACTGAGCACCGGGGACCGAGAAACCTGCCTCGGAAGTGACCCCGAGGAGTGCTGTCACACCAGGTGGTGAGGAACTCAGAGCCTGCGCCGCAGGAGCCAGACGACAGGCCCGGCGCTGCCCGCCATCAGGGAGCAGGTGCAGGGAGTGACGCCCTGTAAGACAGTGCGTCTCTGGGGTGGGAGGACCCCGCCGAGGCTGCAGATCTCGGGAAGTAGGGGTGTTGGCACGCATGCAAACACCGGGCAGAGGCTGTGTCTGCAACCTAAGCGTTCAGGGTTCCTTACAGACGTGAGTTCCTATTTCACGCCACACCGGTGTGCAGCCCTGACCAACGACAAGCTGCTGGGCACAGCTGGACGGCAGTTCCGAGACAGGATTAAGCCCGCACCCAGGGCGGCCCCAGCAGGGCCGAGAAGGCATTGGTGGTCTGATCCCTCAACCCAGAAGATTCTGTGTAAAAGCAAGTCAAGAGCCTCTCTTTCTAGCCCAGAAGAAATTGTTCTGTTTTTGCTGCTTCCGAAGGCCTAGTCAGAACCATAAAAGAGAGCTGGGCTAGTCAGGGCTCGTGGCCAGGCCGCGCCCCCGAGGGAGAAGGGACCGGGGACACGGTGAGTCCTGCAGCGTCTGGAGCGCAGGCGGGCGTGGAGTCAAATCCTTGCTTCCGCCAGCGGCCGACCCGGGAACGTGCCTGCCCTCTAGCTCTCCACACGAAGGGAAACGTGGCCCTGGATGAGGGTCACACGAGGTAGCGACACGAAGGGTCTAGGAGACTCAGGACAGTGACCCACCAACAGCGGCATCGGCATCGTCGCTGCAGAAACGGGCCCGAGAGCCAAGAATGCAGAGCCCGGGGGGGCGGGAGCGGCTGCTGGGGTGCACTCGCTGGCTGGTTCAGGGGAGTGAGTGGCT